CCTGCATCCCAGAGCTGTCCCTGCATCCCAGAGCCTCAGGCTGTCCCTGCACACAGAGCCTCAGGCTGTCCCTGCATCCCAGCCGGTGACACGGAGCTGCAGCCGAGGGTCCCGCTGGCTCCCGCAGGTCCCTGTGCATGTCCCTGGGGGTGTTGTCTCTGTGCACACCCCAAACAGCCGCTCCACCTCCTCACTCAGCCCCGGGCAGGTGACTGTTCCTTGCTTTGCCAGCTTTGGCTTGGCTGGTGATGGAAGTCCAGGGAATCTCCACTTTCACTGCCCTTGAACAGACCTGTTGCAGTCCCTGGCAGCACCCCAGCCACGCTGGGAGGTGTTCTGTGGGGCAGTTGGCGTCGGTGCCACCCCAGAGACCTTTCCCCAGGCCCCACGCTGAGCCTGGCAGGTGTCCCTGGCACAGGTGGTGTCACCAGCCCAGCCAGGAGGGTTTTTCCCAGCGGGCACAGCCATGGGGAATGTCTGTGGGCTGCTGGACAATAGCACAGGGTTTGCATTAACCCACTGTGCTGCAAATGCGAGAGAACAGCATGTACTGCAGGAGACATCGGTACCTTGGGCACACTGGGGCTTGCAATCAAACACTGAATCAAAAAAGGCATTTGATAGAAAAAGAAATAACACAAATGTCACTGTACGAGGCAGAAATCTAAATGTAATCACAGCTGATTGTGGATGTGCTGTTCCTGACTGCTCAGAACAAGGGAAATGTGCATTTGAAAGCCATGCTTGGATTTGGTATAAATTGTTTATGAACTGCTCTACTTTTTCTATAACAAAATCAATTTAACCTCATAATGTGCAATGTTAAGATACTCAAAGAGAAAAGAGAAAAAAGCTGCTCATCTTTCCCATTGCATTTTCTCAGACCTTTTGAGGAACTGTGGCTCTGGTTCTGTGTACCCTTCTCTGCAGTCTGTCTATCCAAATTGATTTCCCAATTTCCCCAGCATTTCTCTGAGGAAAAAGCAATGGTTTCTTACCTCAGCATAGTGTGATTATCCACTGCTGCCTAATTCAAAATCAAAATCAAAACTCTCATCTAGAAAAATAAGAATAATGGTGGGATGTAAGCTAAAGTTAATAGAGTTGTTCTAGCTTAGACACTGTGGCTCAGGTCTTTAAATCTAAATTTTAAGAACATAAAGGAAATATTTTTAAAGTTGTGAAGCCATGTGGTTTGAAGGTTAATTAGGAAGATCTCAGAGATCTGCATTTCAGACTCTGGTGGTGAATGGCTCGTGAGCAGCTCAGCTGCTGCTCTGCACATCTGCAGGAGGAGGAGGCTCTGTCAGACCCTCCCAGACCATTCCTCCCCTTGGCTGCTCAGCACAGGAGTGAGATCCCAGTCAGACCACTGGCTAATGGGAGAGTTTCTAACAAGGTACTCAAGAGATTTGCTCAGACCGATCAGCAAAAGTTGATAGGAAATGATTCACATTTAAATTAATATATAAGAAATGAAAAAAAAGGCTTAGGTGATTTTGTAGAGGAAAAAGAAGTGAAAAGGAGAAATTGATTATTTTTGCCTTGCTGTACAGCCCAAGTGATTCTTCAGAGATGCCACTGCACAGTCAAGGTATTTTATTAATCCACACTTTGCCTTTCTGGATGAGTACAAATATGAAGGGCAAAAGTAAACTAGGAGACACTGTGCAGAAAACACATGTTGAGCTCTCAGCCCGTATTTTATCACCTTTGCAGAACAGCTTTTCTGCTTCTAATGCCTTTGGGTGCTCCAAATGGTGTGTGGATTGGTTCAACACAAAACTTTTGGAGGTTAAAACAAGGAGGAACTGAAATCACTGTGAAGCAGGAAAAGCAGAAAGGTTGTGGGCCAGGTTGCCTTCGTTGTTGTCAGGGATTCCAGGCACGTCATCCTGGCAGGTTTCCTGAAGGCCCCCCAGCCCCAAAGCTCCCTGGTATGGGCAGGAACAGCAAATAACACCAGCTGGGTCAGCATGAGCTCTGTGAGTGCAGTGCCCACCTCTGCCTTGGCCCTCCTGCCTCCTCAGTGTGCTCAGCCTGGCCTCAAGGAGCCTCATTTCCCTCCTGCAGCTGCTCTGGCTGGGTTTTGCACACCCACCTGCTGCTCAGAAGGCCCGTTGTGTGCAGCTCTGCTGGGTGTGGAGGCAGGAGTGCAATGTCTGACCTTGTGTGGGACAAACCCAACTCACGGGGACTTTCACTGAATGAACACAGGAGAATTCTCTGGTTGGGTAACTCTGTGTTAACAGGCAGTTGATTAAGCTCTTTTCTGAGCACTGTATTCCAAACACACTGTGATTCAGGTGAGAAAGACTTCGTTGCATCTTCTTTGTTGATTGAATTTCTGGACTTCACGTACTTAATATCCAACCCACCTTCCAATATTGCCTGTGTACTGCATTAAAATTAGAGAGGTTAAAGGAATATGATAGACATATAGTAGAAAAAGATTAAAGATTATGCAGGAGCCTTGGAAAGATGAAGAGATGTTATTTTTAGCAGCATATGGATGACCAGTAAGACAAAACATGGGACATTTCCTTTGCTAACATAATGTTTTTGAAAGGCCCAAGCGTCCTGCGGAAATGAAGAGGAAATCCTTAAATCTGAGGTGGGTTTGGCTGGTGGAAGGGTCAATTGTAATTTAGTTTGGGCTCTAAGAAAGTGATAGATGAGATTAGAAAGTTTTCTAATGCATTTATGAATGAAGAAGTCAAAATGTGAATGAGGGGAACACAAATGTTGGCTTCCCCAGTCCCAGAGCTGCAGCCTGTGTGCTGGATGTGTGAGGGGAGGGTTTAGGACCCCCTCAGCAGGTGTCCTGACCAGCTAAAATGAACCTGTCTCCTCCGTGGCTGGGCTTTCCAACACATCCAGCACTCAGGGAGGTTGAACAGACTCATACCAGCTTTGAGGAAGCAAATTTACCAACACAGTTTTGTATCTCACTACAGACAAATGCAGATGCTTCTCTCCTCAGGAACAACAGCGTGACCATCCAGGTGATTGCAGCCAATCAACCTCTCATTAGTGACCTCTAGAGTGTTCACTTCAGACCTTGTTTCAGTTTTCATTTGACTCTGCTGAAAATGTCTGAGTTCAGGGCCCAGCCCTGGGGGTTCTGTTGCTCTGACTGGCAATCTCTGGTTGTTTTCAAAACTCAACCTTTGTGACAAAGGACAAGGAATAATGTCCACTAACACAAATTTAAAGTATGCAATGATGATCTATAATTAAGTCATGATCTCTTTTTAGACTACAGACCTTATAAGAGCCTGACCTTTCAGAATTCAAAGCCTAAACTGAAAGAGATTCACGGAAGTATTTTTTATGTAACCATTATTTAAAGCTTCCACTCTGTAATTAAATTTTTTCTCCTTGCAAGGGAGAAAGAACTGTTCCTGAAAAAGCTTCTCATATGGTGAGCAGTATAATTAGAGAACTAGTTATGCAAATGTCACAGAAAAATGACCTTTAATGAAGCAATATCAAATGAAAAAGCTATTACAGTTATGCAGAATGAAGAATAGCTAAAAGTTGAATTACTGAAGTGGATCCTGGGCTCACTGCTGTTAAGATTCCCCATGTGGGCTCCTTCTTGTGTGTAACCGAGAAAGGAGGAGAACAAACAGTCCTGTGGCAGACTTGGCACAGGAAATGCTGTAAGAGCTTGTGAAGGAAGGATTTCCACTTTGTGTCACCACTGGCTGCAAAAACATACCAGGATCTGTTACCTACAGGGGCTGTGAGGAAGCATCTTCTCTTCAAGGACAATCCCAGTTGGAATTACTTCTGCTGATGTTTTGGTCTCGTGGATTTAAAAGTAC